TTCTCTAGGTCTCTCTGTAGCAGTGTGGGATCGATCGCGAGAGAAACCTACATTCATGCGATACAATATATGTGTCTGTTCTCGGGCGGATACAGCGCATATTTTCTTGAAAAATCAACACAGATATGACAATATGGGATCTTGGCCACCGCTACAGCCACCGCCACAGCCTCCCAATTCGAAATTCCAAAATGGGGATCACTCTGCGAGTACATACTATATATCTTAATTTTGTTTCATTGAGAAATGTAGACCGTCGTTCCCCGTCGTGCTTTCGTCGTTTGTTTTTCAAAAGCCCATTAAAATATTTCGCGTAGGAATCATAGCATATTTGCTGGACGTGATATTTCTATGTTTATGGTTTGAGAGCGTGTGCATACGTATATTGATGATATACGGAAGGGAAGGATTCACCTGTTCCGTTCAGTTCGGAAGATGTATGGCTGTTGGATGAAGTGGGACGTTGTTGATGTTTCTACGATCTGGTATGGAATCCATGTAGGAGTAAAATCTCTATCTCTATACACAGATAAACCAAACATAGAATTAGCTATGCGACTTCCCCTGATGGCAACCCTGAAACCGCTTAAGTCCGTGGCCAACAATAATCAAATTTCCGTAGGTGGCAGCCGTGGCTCTGCAGCATCTCGTCCCCTAATGATGCAAGCGAAGAACAGATGCGATGCCGCCTCTATCTCTCTCTCTCTCTCTCTCTCTCTGTGGCTGTCTGTGCATGAGGGAGCACGAGGGAGGCAAGTACCACAGCCGCCACAAGCTGCAACTGCACAAAATTTTAATTAATTCATTAAACCTGCACATGGCGCCGACGCAGCAATGTCATCCAAATCACAGAAACATATGTACATATTTATGTATGTGTACCAAGCCCACGCTCTCTAAATATAATTCTACGATATGATGGACTCTTTCGGATATTAACGATCTGTCACCGATGTCAGAAATCAAATGCACAAGCTACGGCTTCCGGAAATGCGCAATTTGACGGGGAATCAGTGCGAGCGTAGGGGAATACCTATGAGATCCCACGATGTGTATTTCTGGGGTGCCACAGAGAGCGTAAACAACGCCGAAAGTAGATTTGTTATTCTTTTTCTTTTTCTTTGTTTGCTCTCGCGCAAAGTCAAAGAAAGGAAAACAAAGGCAGCCAAAGACAAACCAAATTAATGCAGTTCTGCAGCCGGCGAGATCTCGTCAGGGCTGGTTCCCCTGCCCCTCCCCGCCACATGCAACCATCCATCTATCCACTCGGCGTATCCGCCTCTCGAATCCCCTTCAATGTGTCAATACCGAGATTTACAACAGGCCTGAGGTACCACTTGAGATGCATTTCCCCCACCCCCCCATCCGCATTGGGGTGCATACGAGAGTACAATATATAGACATAATATAATTTGATTGCTCCGCCGTATTTATAGATATCTTCAGTTCGAGTTGCCGTTGCCAGTGGGAGGATTCGGTTCTCGAAAGAGGTACGTGGGCGAGGGAGTTCATAATTTGATTTGATTTGATTGGACTTTGAAGTTCTCTCTTTCAGAGTTTCTGAATTTGAGCATCGTATTGCCAATGCCACGGGGAAAATGAGGTCAACAGCAACCGGAGCCATGAAGCAGCGCTGTTATGCTCTGTTCTCTTGGCATTCCCGGATGAAAATCAAGCGCATGACTTTCTTCAAATATAAATACTCATATAATTCACGAAACGCTATCAATAGAGCGCAACAATAGCAATAACAATAATGCGGTCGAATGAGAACTCGACTGTTTTGTACCCTGTATTCGCAATAGTCAATCATCTTTGGAGTCTGGCAACGACAACCAAACTGAAACTTTTTTCTGAAATATATTTAAGCTGCTATTTTCTTTGAACCTGTTCTGAAACCTCTCAAGTGCATGATATACGGTAGAGGAGCGAATGTGCATTTGTTTGATATTTGCCTTTGACAGAATTTTATTTTGGCAACCGTTCAACTTTCGTTCGGGGCGACTGCTGGCAATGGTTCTCTCTGGTTCGGGGCTTTGAAACGTGCTCAACGGTTGCGTTGCCCCCTTCTCCTCCTTCGTCTTCGTCTCATCGTCGTCTTGCCGTGCAAACAAGCGACAGCGGAGGAAGGTACATATGTACATATAGACAGGGATACCAGGCAGGGGAGCACCCACTTAAGGCGGGAAACATGGCCGAGGAGGCACGGATGCTACAGAGCTGCAGCCCCTGCTATTGACCCAATGGATTATGCAGCATAAATGGCGGGACACTTCAACCTCTGTGACCTGCAACCTCCACGAGACGGCGCACTGGGCCTTCCCTGAGCCGGCAGTAAATTACACTTGCATGAGGAGGTGCAGAGTGGTTCGGGGAAGTTACTTCTGCCCCGAAGAGCCTCGAGATTGTTGCTTTAGTTGCATGCAGCCCCGCTGACGCATCGACCGCGGGCAGGGGAGATGGGGCTTGCAATGGGCTGTGGCTATGTTGATGCCACTGAACCCTGGCTGCGGAATAGTCGTAGGAAAACCTGAGTCATCTTCAGGGCGCGCTTCAGGCCAACCTGTCTGGCCCTCTGCATCGACTCACCTTCAACTTTGCTTATTTGTAACAATCATTTGTTGCGTTGTTTGTTGCTGATTTCGTTGTGTTCGTCGATTCGGATCAAAAATAGAGAATGAGTAATGGGGGCCTTCGGATTCTCCCACCTTTCCACCACTTTTGTCACTTTTCACTGGCCCCAGCACACTTTTAATTATATACACAATTAGTTATATACTAAATAAAGCACACTCTTCGCACTGCATTCACCTATTAAGACAGGAACTGCCCGATTTTATATTTCCGTTCGAAGAAAACACTACAAACACAACAGTTCGATGTTCGTGTGTATGATACGCGCTGATAACGTGCATACATTTGGAGTCGATTTGTTAACGTCTACATTATCACTTTAAACTTATTATTCACTTTTTTTAGGCAAAATTTACAATCTTTCGTCATATTTATTAGGGCAGTTCAGTGTGACCGCGGATAAAATATACCGTCCGACCCTCAGAAATATACCAAAATAACAAAAACGCAAAAATGAGCAATGATAATCGATGTAATCGAATGCTTTTCGACGTCCAGTGCTGGCTAACGCAAGATTCCTCACCCTCCACACACGTGTTTTCCGCACGAACGTTTGATTTTATTTGTCCGACAAATATTCACATATATAATGGCCGACGTTGCTGAAACTACCGTTCCCGAGGTTAAGGAGCCTGTGGAGGAGGTGACCAAAGCAGAGGAAGTCGCAGCCGAGGAGCCCGAAGCCAAGAACGGCGATTCCAAGGAAGAGCCGGCTTCGGCGGCCGACGGAGACTTCTCCAAACAAGAACGCGCCATTATTCGGCAAGTAGAGTATTACTTTGGGGACGCGAATCTGAATCGGGACAAGTTCTTGCGCGAGCAGATTGCCAAGAACGAGGATGGGTGGGTGCCCCTCTCAGTGCTGATCACATTCAAACGGCTGGCCACGCTGTCCACCGACTTCGATGAGATCATTGCCGCCCTGAACAAGTCCGACGAGGGCCTGGTCCAGATCAGCGAGGACAAGCAGTCGCTGCGTCGCCACCCCGAGCGACCCATCCCAGAGCACAACGAAGAGCGTCGCAAGGAGATCCAGGAGCGCACTGCCTACGCCAAGGGCTTCCCCCTGGATTCGCTGATGAGCGAGCTGCTCGACTTCTTTTCCTCGTACGAGAAGGTGGTTAACATCACCATGCGCAAACACTACGACAAGCCCACCAAGTCGTACAAGTTCAAGGGCAGCATTTTCCTCACCTTCGAGACCAAGGATCAGGCCACGGCATTCCTGGAGAAGGACAATAAAGTGGTATACAAGGAGCGCGAGCTTCTCCGCAAGTGGCAGATCGACTACCTCAAGGAGAAGCAGGAGGAATATCAACTGAAGAGCGAGAAGAAACAGAAAAAGAAGGAGGCCAAGGCCGAGCCCGCCATCGAACTGCCCAAGAACGCGATTGTGGTCTTCGAGGGGGCTCCGGAGACGGTGTCCCGTGAGGAGATCCGCGAGGCCTTTGAAAAGGTGAAGGACTTTGACATCGCCTACATTGAGTTCAACAAGGGCGACACCAAGGGCTCGGTGCGACTCACCGAAGCCGACGCGGCCGAGAAATACATTTCCAAGGTGGAGGAGGGCAAGGTAGGAAAAAGTCTTGTATTCCTATTGAAAGTGTCTCGCTAACGCCAGCTTCTCTTTCAGCTCAAGTTTAACGAGGAAGTCACACTGACCCTCCGCAAGGCCACCGAGGACGAGGAAAAGACGTTCCTGGACAAGGCTGTGGAGTTCATGAAGAAGCGCCGCGACTTCAGCCGGAATAAGAACAAGCGCTTCGGCCGCAAGCGCCACGGCGGCAACGACAACCGGCAGGGCAAGAAGTCGCGCGCAGAGTAGGACCTCCTGTCCCCAGCCCATGCTAGACTTTGCATACGTGTTACTCCGTAGATCTAGTTGACTTAGATGTAAGCTCTTAAGTGTACGTATTGTACGCAGTACGTTTTCCTGTAGTTTGCGAAAATAGTCGTAGGATAGTACACAGAAAGTATCTCTGAAGAGTATACGTATGTTTGGTTTGATATCATTATTACGAGATGAACTCTAATTTATTTTATGTTACTTAAAACAACTACGATTTAATCATTTTCCTCAAAAGAAAGAAATAAAGAAAGAAAGTGAGTCCCGACCAAACAAGTCTCCCAGTTAATCACGAATTGCATTAATAAGTTTTTATTTAATTGTTTCATTGCGTTTTAGTGTATTTTCGTTCTCTTTGTGGTGTTTTGTTATAAATCAAAGCCCAAGAATTCCAACTTAAAAGCATTAAAAGTGCAGGATTAACTCTCGTAAATTACAAATACAGTTTAAATGCGTTTATAAATGAGGGCAAGATGAAACAAAAAAAAAAACCAAAAAAATGTTCACAAGAACTTCAAAATTAAAGGTTTACGATAGGTAGTATAATTCATGATTTCGTTTGGGGTTGCTTTGCATCGCAGCTTGTACAATTTGAACGGTCGCGTCGCTTAGATGATAGGCGGAAACTAAAACTATGCGATCAATTAACTAAATAGTATGGGTTGCATTGCAACAAAGACTAAAATTAAATTAGGCTATCAATTAAGCGCTATCTCGCGGTATACATTGACGTTGTAGGTGATCAGACGGGGGAACACAACGAGAATTTCGCAAGGAAACGAGAATTCGATCTGCGCAAGCACAAACATTTCACAACATTCATTTCTTAACAATATCCAAAATAATGTTTTCGAACTGGGGATGGGATCATTTGTCTGAATCATCTCTTGATAAGTCGAGAGCACAAGCTGGAGATACGGATTACATATGGATCGTACTTGGATACTTATAAGAGCTATGAGTATATACTTAATCAACATTTACGTATAAATTAAACATTTACAAACAACGGCATTGTACTGCGATAATATATAGGGTTTATTGTATTTATGTGGTACTGTATGTATAGTCAGCTATTGTTATGTGTATATACTCGTATTGTATCATATCGTATCGTATGTGGTGGGGTGCGCTCAAGCGGATCATCTCTCTGTAGCCGGCAGAAAATGTACAAAGCTTCAGCCAGGAATGTTCTTTTGTTCTCTCCTTTGCTTATTCACTAAACTAACACGATTTACAAGGGGAGGGAGTCTCCTGGAGGCTCTATCTTTTATCGTTTACAACAGTCCATCTAATCCATAATACAATCCGTAAATACGCACGTATGTACGATTATGTATCTTCCGTATGTTTAGTGCGTTCCAGTAGTCCCATAAAACACCTAAACAGTTGCTCAGTTAATGCCGAGTATATTGAAAATACATCGATTTCAGACAATTCTGGTATAGAGTCAGCTATCAAATAAAGTCCGGGGTCTGTCATCGAATAAATTGATCAATAGATTCTAGGGTAAGTTATCAAGTCGGGGATATTCTCGAAGATTGATATCTCAGTTGTCGAACTGAGGGATTCCATTTCGAACAGTGTCCCATAGTGGCACTGTAGGGTTTAATCTGTCTGGGCCCGTTCGGTGCCTATTTCCAGACAGGCGTTAGATCTAGAGTGAGATTCTGAATGGTGCGGTTCCTCGCAGAGCTGCGCTTCTGCTTCACAGAGCTGGTGATCTCGTTGACGAGGCCTTGGCAGTCGTTGCAGACGGGCACCTGCTCGCCGCGCAGGTTCTCCTTTTGATCCTGGGTCTGGGCCAAATGGCTGCCCGAGGAGAACAAGGCGAAGCCCCGCGAGAATCGCGATCTAGAAAAGGAAGATTGCAGAATTGGTTACAGTTTCTGGCGGGGCTGCTGCACCACTTACTTTCTCTCGAGGGTGCTGCTGTTGGACAGCGGTCGATATGCTGGGCTGTGCACGGGCAGACTCCGGGGTCCCTCCATGCTCCGCGACATGGCGTTGTTGTAGTGGTGCTTCTGGTGGTGCTGCATCACTCCCGAGGGTCGCATGGCTGACGAGTAGGAGGCGGACATGGCAGCCTGGTCGTGCAGCGCCTCCACGGCATGGCCAGGGGCGGCGGAGGTGGACGCGCCGGCTCCTGGCCCCACGCTGATGCCAGGAGTGCTCATGTTTGATCTTTGGTGCTTGGGTGAGGATGGTGCACTGCCCACAGTGCTGCGTGTCTGCAAAGGGAAAGCGAGAAAGTCAGTAATATGGCGACGAAAAGCTAGCTCGCGTGAGCACGCGTACCTTTCTATCTGACTCGGAGCGCAGGAGACGCTCAATCAGTGACTTGGGGAACTGGTCATCCATTATGTTCCCTGTCGACGAGGAGTGCGCCTGGTGGGCGTGGTGAGAGGGTGAGGGGGTGCTCGAGCTGGCCGGACTGGACAGCAGCGATGGTGAGATCAGCACAAGGGGAACGTTCCTGAAGTGCTCCGAGGGAATGCGCATCTGCGAAAGTAACAATAAGAAAGTGATTAGACAATCAGTCAAGTCAGTCCTATAGATTCCACCCACCTTGGTATAGCACTTGGCGCAGACAGTGCGCTGGCAGAGCTTGCACTGGATACCCCATGGCCCGAAGAAGGAGAAGCGTGTGCGCAGGCACAGGAAGCAGACGCGACGCTTTTCAACATCCTCCTTGACGCGCACATCCATGGGCAGGCCCTCCAGCTCGGCTTTGGTCATGACAGAACGTATGTGAACGATCTCCGCCAGCGTTACGGACAGGCGATCGTCCCCCCGTTCCATCCAGGTCTGTTTGTCCATGAAGGACTTGTTCCATGGGCCAAGCGAGGATGTTGAATGAGCCTCGTCCAGCCTGGGCGGCCCGTCCGTCGTCTGCGAGTGGTCACCCTCCGTCAGGGGGCTCTTCCTGATGCCTGGGGCCTCGCTGCTGGCTCCTGACTGCGACTGGCTGCCTGCGTCATCCGATTGACGCGACTCGGGGCGCGTGGGTGGCATCGAGTGCGTCTCCTCCAGGTTGCTCTGGCAGCCCACGATAGTGTGGCGGCGCAGAGAGGCGCGTCTCGACTCGCATTGAGTGGCCAGGTCGTAGGCTGGGGAGTACAGAAAGTGCGTAATCGTTAGCCGGGGGTCAACACTGTGAATGCAGTACAGAAGTGTGGGGGAGGCAGAAGAAAGCTTTTGAAATGTTAAATGTGTCAGCTGCAGAGGCAGAGGCAAAGGCGGGGGTTGTGGTTGTGGTTGGGACTATGCTGGCTGTGAGTGGCGTGGCATTGGGTGCATGCATGTATGTATGTATGTACAAGTATGTGATATAAGAGGCGAAGCTGAATGAGCGATATGATTGGCTCCGTGAAGCATCGAATGGAAAGCAAGCGTGTGAGATCTTAGTAGGTTCTTTAAATATTTACATTCCAGGGCATTGTCGAAGAACCTGTGGTACTCGTCCTCCGTAAAGGATGGCTCAGCAGGCGGGGGTGGCCGTGCCTGTGCCTGTGGCTGGGGCAGGGTCTGCCTGGGTGCACTTGCGTCCACTGCAGCGCCAGGAGTTATTGCGGCAGCGTTAATTTTGTTCAAGTTTTTAAAGCGTGTGTGTGAGGCGTTTTGAATTCAGAATTGAAATTACATTATTTCCCATACAAATACTCGTATCACGAGGGACCAGCAACCAAAAACAACGATTATTGCAAGAGAAAGATCTACTCGAGTGCAGGAAATAATAATAATAATAATAATACTGGAGAGCAGCTTGCAGTAGATTCACTTTTATTTATATAGTTTCTGGTCTGTCTTGACTTTAATAAATTTAACAAAATATTTCGAGATTTTCCTTAGTATATTTGTGCTTTCGTGATTTGTGTGTGTGCCGGAGTGCTCCTCCTTAAGCCGAACCAACTCCATTGTGTTAGCCCTCGAATCGAATCAGCCCACACCAAATACCCGCCATTTCAAAGGGTATTTCCTTCATCCTTGCTTGCTACTTTCTGGATTTGTTCTTAGTGCATTTAGGGGTTTGGGGGCAGGGGGTTATTAATTATAATACTCGTACAACACACTTGCTTTGCCGGGCCGGGCCGGGGCGGGGCAGGGGCAAGGGCCCTGTTGCTTCGCACAAAACCATACAAATAATAATTAATCGAAAGTAGTTAGCGTTGTGTGTGTGTGTTGTTTGTTGTTGTGTTGACAGTAAAACGATCAAATACCTTTGCAAAGTTAGGTTTGTTGTGGAGTGGAGTGGAGGGAAAGGAAGAATGTAAGAAATAAAAATAAAATAAATTAAAATTATAAAAACTTAAACCATTTTATAGCTAAAACTAGTAATACCAGATAATATACACCAGATACAGACTTTGGCAATGGCTACGCCATGGCTTTTGGGGTAAGGCACAGAAGTAAGGAGGAAAAAATATAACCCTTTAAACATTCAAAATAAAAGCGGAAGACAGTAAAGTAAAGTAAAAAAGCTTTGATTTCATTAAAGGCAGTCCTTCCATAGTTTTTGGATGTCATATCATATCTTAGAAGTGAATCTTTCAGTCGTGTAGGTTCAGTCGTTGCGGTGTCAATCGGACAATCAGAAATCTGTTCTACTTTCAAGTCTGGCCCAAAACTAATCGAATTTCAATGCGAGTTGCCTCTGTACTTTGTGCGCCAGTAGTGTTAGGTGTCCCAAGTGCCCGTATATATAATATATTGTACAGATTATAGTAGATTACAGGTCGATTGCACAACCAACAGAACTGGATACTCACTTGTGCGTCTGGGCCGCAGCTGCGTCGCCGTCGCCTGGCACTCTTGCCGCGCTTGGCTGGGCACCATGTAGCCCCCAAACGGATACGGTGGCATCTTGGGCTGCGAGCAGCGGTGCAGCTCGGCTAGATGGGCATGGTGAGGCTGGTGCTGCTGGTGGTGCTGGTGTGTGGCCGCTGTGGAGTGGGAGCTGCTCATGCTGGAGTCATCGAAGAAGAGCTCGTCGTCCTATCGACCGAATGAGGTAGAGCTCGATTAACACAAAGATTACCAAAGGATCAGCTGGGGAGACACTCACCTGAAGCTGTGAGAAATCCACTTTAATGAGCCGCTGCCTGGAACGTGACAGAGTGGAGTTCGCACTTGGAAGCACTGCAAATGAAAGATCGTAGAAACAATGAGTCCTCTGGTCGCAAGCGAAAGTGAATGTGGCCACAGCCATGGGAAAATGGGTCTGCATGCGATGGGATTATCTAATGAATATCATGGAGTGATGGCATCTCTACTCCGGGTAGCAGATTCCCCGCCGCTCACTCGGAAACCGGCTCCGCTCTGTGCCCTTTCTGTCCACTCATTGCGCAATTAGAGGAGGCCTTCCACTGAAGTTGGAAGTTGTCAACACGACGCCGCCTCGCACTTTTTACCGGCCATTCCACACACGAAAACCGTTAAGAGCCAGCGCACTTAATGGTTCTACTTATGAAATCACTCCGCAGAGCGGCTGGCTTGAGGCTTGTGCAATGCCTGGGAACTTCTGGAGCGGAAGGGGTCGCTTCACTTTTCAACTTGTCGAAGATACTTTACGACCCGTAGGCCCCATAACAGCCGGTACGTGACTGAGCAGGGGGCTGAGAGCCCACCAGCGACTGGACTGGACGCCGGGGCCTTTGACCCGTGGCCCAGAACCAGGTTTCAGACTGGAGATACTCTTTTGCAGTGCCCAATGATGAAGGGTATCCACACTTCTCCACACCGAATGCAGTTTGCTCTGCGGATTGCTTAATGGCTTTAATGACGGGAGCTGGGAGTCGGAGTCAAAGACGAAGTCGTATCATGACTGCAATTACCAGAGCCACTGCAGGCGGTTCGGATTTACTCCTTAAACACATACAATGCCTTGGGGCATGCCACCCCACCTCTGAACCGCCGTCCCCCACACACACACACACACACACAAGAGTATAGACGAGGCTGAAATTGAAACCAGGTCAAAGCAGAGCAGAGCAGAGCAATTTCGTGGCCCAAAGCAATATTGGGGCATGGAGCCGTTTTCGGGTTACCTTTTGATGACTTGACGGCCTGCCGTGGCTTGGGTGTCGGAGGATTGGGGACTCCTGCTGACGAGGCTGTTGCACGCGGCGCGGCGCGAGGCGTTGGCTGGGGCTGGGGCTGCGGCTGGGACTCCGACTGGCAGAGATTGCTGTCCCCGTCGGAGCCGCAGTAGAGGGAAGCATCGCTGCCCACGTCCACCACATCCACGTTGCGCACCACGTGGTGGCTCTTGAACACCGACGCGGCAGTGGAGCGCTTGGCACTGGGCATCCCGGGCTTGGAGTCCATTTGAGCGCTTCTCGAATCGGTCACGGATTACAGCCTCCACATGTCCGACTGGCCGAGTCCTGGATGGTGCTAAGTGCTAAGTGCTTGGTGCCTGGTGCTCCACTTCCGCGGCACTTCTGGAATCGCACTTCGGCTCACTCTTGTTGCCTTTTCACTTTTCGCTCTTTGTGTGCCACACGGTTGCATTCGGGCTATCGATCCGGGGAGTACAACAAATGGTAACGGAACCAACCCCACAGGGCTGCCTGCTCTGCTGCTCCGAGGGTTGTGTCCGGCTGTGTCCCTCCCCCCACTGCCAGGCTGGCTGCCTGACTGACAGACTGACGGATTGACTGACGGCCGGTTTTCCACTATAACTTTCCACTAGGCCGCTTTTGGTTCTATTAATCATCCAGTTTTTTTGTTTCTTTTGCCCATCCGCGCCACGCTCCCACCGCTCTCAACATAATCAATGGAGTCCACGTCCACTCCTCCAACCAGCAGAAACAACACCGAACGAATGGGGCGCAACCGCCAAGACTCAAAACACGGAACCCCCGAACCCCAAACCCGTTACAAGCCAGCGAGAGAGTGGTATATCCATAAAAGGTGCGCCTGTGTCGCTCTTCGGTGGCCTAAATGGTTTGCACTCGCTGTACACTGGATGTCGAGTGTTTGCTAGGAATAATACACCGATAGCACCCATATGAACTCTGGACTCCTCTTCCAATACAAAATTATGAATATATCCAATAAATGTTGAGTGTTAACTTATAGATATTCTACCGAACGCATGGTATAACCATATAAGGTAGGGAACTAGTTATTCGCAGCGCGCCTGCGCAGAGACTTCTCTGAGCGCGGCGGAGAGTCGGTTTAATGAGAGCTTGAGACAGAGAGTGAGAGGAGAGCGCACTTTTGTTTTGGCCACTCATTGTGTTGTTTTGTTTGGTGGGGGGACTTTTACGTCACTCCTTGGGTAGGAGGTTCGGGTGATGACGTAGAGGCAGAACGCGATGGCAAGGACAGCGCAGCTTATGAATAAGCAAGGGGGGTCGGTCTCTGGGGTATTGAAATCAAAGTTGCAGCCAAATTTGAAAAAGTTCCCAATCGTCAATAAAGATGGGAGTTCAGGGTCGCCTAAAAATGGAAGCGGCATGATGACATTTGGCATCTGTCCTTTGAAATGACTAGTATTCGTATTCAACATGTTAGGCAGGTATTCATTAGCACTAATAGGAAGGTTCGAGGTACCCTCGCTACAGAAACCTACAGATACTCGCCCAAAAAGCTGTTGATATTTCCCAAAAAATAGCTACGGCCCAACTTGATCTGGACGATCTGTAAACACTAGTCAGCCTAAAAGTCGTGCACATTTTGTAGCTCTCTTGTCGATGTCATTATCCCGTAGTTGTATATGTAGCAAGCATGTACAAATCATGTAGTATATTGTTATTATTTAAACAAGAAGGCAACAGTCGCGGTGAGCTGAGAAACATCACTCAGCTGTTGATGCTGATGAAGAATATATGTATGTACTCGATTGGGTCGGAACCGCTTCCTTCTGGCTGTGTTTGAGTAAAGGGATCGCATAGATCACGATGAAATCGTGTAAAATTACATTCGACATGTCGAAATGAAGCATTCATAAACTACATACTACATACATATGTATGTCAGTGTCCTATCTACGTGATCTGGTACAGTTTTCCCGAAAAGTTCGTGGTCTTTTCCACGTTTAAGCGAAAATATTTACTTATTTACAATCTGCACGATGGTATGAATGAAAACGTGCAATTGGAAATATGTATATAGGGGATAGAACGGAACCTACTACAGTCGAACTTCTCTATTACGATCCTCCACACAACGAAGCTTTCTATATAACGAAATTATTTCCAGAACACTGCCATGCTATATTCTACACAACCCTTGAGAACGACTGTTGAATAAGCTCGAAGATCATTTAGCCGAATATCTTAAGTGATGGATTTATGGTTTCCCAATAAGATTGCCCCTATGATAATCGGATAAGTCTGTAATAGAAAATTGCTAAATCGATGGGTAATGCCCGAAAGTGTATAAAATTGTTCCTAAAAGGATGACCTACTCCTAACCAAATTTCGGATTTTCATCTTTATGAACTTGATTCAACTCGTACAAATCTCGAACTTATCTAGTTCATTCAGTAGTGGGCAAACTATACGTATATGCTGACCAATGGAGTATGTTTTTCGACAGGCAAAACATATTTTTCGGTCAGCAGCTGCATATCGGAGGCAAACAAGATTCCCAGCCGCAAAAGAAAAGCAACAAACAGCGGCAAACAGACAGACCAACGGACAAACATACACTGTCTAAGGTGAGGTTGTCGTTGTCGTTGTCGTGCCTGGCTTGGTCGTTGTCGTTGTTGTCGCTATCTTTGTGTGTCACATTTTTGCACGCTTCCTTCAGCAGAGCGGATTGTGGATTTTGGATTGGGATTGGGGATTGGGTTTGGGGACTGGGGATTGGAAAAAGTGGCCGTTTTTGATCTATGTTGGCATGCGCGCTGCACTGCACTGCGACCGGCAGACTCTCATGGAGAAACAGAAAGAAAAAGACAGATTGGGAGGACAGAGGGACCGACGGACAATGGGGCTCCCCGGACGACAAGTGCAGTGAAAAGTTGTGCGACTAACAAGTTTGTGGCTCTCTCTCTCTGTCTCTTTCCCACTCGGTGTCTTCGTGAGGCGACATCTGCCTGTGTAAGCACACGCGTACGCGGAGTATGACAACAATTTATGGGCGGCTGGCGTTTAAAATTGGAAATCGCCGATGACAACACACCGAGAGGATGGATGCGGCAGATGGAGACAGACACCCACCAAAGATTAGAGGCGGCATCTATTTTTGGCAGTCACTGTGGAAAGGCCCAGGTATTTCTTTCGACACCGAGTCCGCTGGTGCCGGGAAATCTATTGACAGGCGATTTGCTGATGCCCTTTGTCGTCAGTTTATGACTATCGTTGACGTCAGGACTTGTACATACAATATGGAAGTGTATGTGGAGATCACAGGGGATATATACGGGAGGAAACCACCATGAAAGTCACTTTATATAGGATGTGGGATGCAACCAAGCCCCCAAGGTGTCTTCTGCCACACTCGAATAGTATTTGGGTTAGAAAAGTGAATAGCTAAAGGGTTTTCTTTGTTCCATGACCCATCTAATTATGGTACTCTCACTACCACTCCATCCTCTGCTGTCTGCCAAGGAGAACTTCCCCTAAAGTTCTATACATTACATGCAGGAGGATATACCCTTGTTTTACTGAACTAATTCTATTTCGTTGGACTTACTTCTCTGCCTCAGAGGGGGTGCCTCTGGCGGGGTGATCTGCTTCAGCTCCTTGCCCTGCCGTATGGACTCCATGAGCTGTTCCCTGGGCGTGGGCGTGCACATCCGGGGCGGGCCCAGTTGCCGTTCGGAGGCCTGGTGGACGATGAAGGTGGGGAAGGGAAATAGAACAAGAAAAGAAAAAATATGGCAACGAAAATTAGTTTTGCTTCGAAAATGGAACTGTTAAATTTTATTGGAAGCCACAAAATATATGCAGCGATGCTTCCTCCATAAAGAAAGTGAAGTGAAAATGTAAACCCGCCAGAAAGCCCAGAGGGGGGTTCACTTGGGACTGGAAATGGTTGTGGTTGTGGTTGGATTGGGGGCACTACACACCTTCTTCAATGGCGGCCGTGACCTAATGAACTCCAAGATCATGGCATGAGCATCTTTCTTGACGCGCGGCGGTATATCTCCATTGACCATCACCTTGCGCAACTGATACTTTCTGTAAAGAGAAATTGCGTTGTTGATTGGATGTGTCTGGTGCCTTGGGCTTTGTGTGGGAACTCTTACTTGGCTCGGATATCCCCCATGAGTATCTCGTAGGGCGTCAGCTCGTATTCGATGGGTGTGCGCTCGAAGTTGCTCTTCTTCAGGCGGACGCCGCGGCGCAGCTCGTCGATCACCTGCACCCAGAAGCGTGCCTGCAAATGGGGAAAGTGTGTTGCTCAGAGATGGTACATAGAACGGATAGAACAAGACATGCAATGCAATGCAACTAGGGACATGCTACACCGCGACTATTGCCACCTACTTGCAGGGCTCGCCACACCTCCAGTTCGTGCTTCGGTTCGGGTTTGAAGGGAGGAAGAAAGGAAACCACAAATCAGAGGACAAGTCAACTGTCAGCCACTTGCCACTTGCCCCATCCCAGAGGCGCTTTGAGCACATTTCACTTTTATGCCCCAACCCCGCTACGAATATTTCCATTTAATTAGCCAATATAATTGTGGCTCCCGTTGCGGCAGGCCGATGCAATGGCTGATTAATGCCAGACATGCCACATGCCACTTGCCACTTGCCACATGACAAGCCAACTGCTAACTGTGCGTATGAGTAATGTGTGTTGAATGCCGCGCGATGTGCAGGAAGACTTCGACTATTTAGCACACAATGGAGAGGAGAGGCTGGGAGGCTGGGGGCCGGCTATATGTAACAGCAATTCGCGTTTTCACTTTCCACTGCAGCATGCGCTTTTCCTGTTCCTGCCACACCACTCGCGCCCAATCGGTGGCAGTGCATTTTCGAGACAGCTCATTAACTATGCAAAACGGGATCGGATCGGCTCGGATCGGCCCGGCTCGGGATCGCATTTCAACCACAGCCGAGGGCATGGCAGCACATGTTTTGACACAAACGTTGCACCCGCAAAAAGAGATCTGGAAACGCTGAAGATGCCACGCCACGCTTCAATTAATGCAAGACCCGACCCCCTTTACGTGGGGCCAGCTTCCGGCTTTGTTGCTTTGCTGCTTTGTTGGGGCCATGTACCATGTACCATGGTACCATGTGCGTACAACATTTGCATCGTCTGGATCGGCACATTAGCATAGGAGCTGGCCCATATCGTCATCATCGTCATCCTCCTCATGACGGCAGGCAGCAAACCGAAACACAGACAACAGACCCGATGTCTGCCCGCTGCGATATGGTTGATGAGAGAAGCATTCGGCATCGAACGGGGAATCACCTTCCGTTTACGGAAAGAGAGTACCCGCCATTCCATCATACTCGCAGCAACCTCCAAGCAGAATCGCAAACAAAATATATGTAAATTTCCCCAAAAAAAAAAAACAGAGCTCTTTCTGCAATCTTTGTCTCGGTTTGTGACATTCTGAAGGCTGTTGGTTTCTGGGAAAAACTGATAAAACGCTGACTAGAGACACACTTCTTGGGTCTTGGGCGTCGGACTACCGCAAAAAGCAGTAGCTGGAGCACAAAAACAATAGACAGTAGACAGTGGAGAGTGCAGAGTGGAGAGAGGCCAATCGAATGGCCAGGCGGGCCAAGAGGCACAAGAAGCGGGCTCTTATCGAACAGCTAGGAAGTGATAAGAGCGCTTTTAATCAAGCCAACAATGGCCTGAAACTACGTTTCGCACTGAGATTCGGGTATCAGTATTCGTGTGACAACAAGCCACAAGACAACGCACACTCGAGTGCTTCGAGCCCGATGATGGTGATGGTGATGGCGATGATGGCCCACCTGTCTGGCCAATTAATTGGCAATTGGCAATTGGCAGAGACGACTGCGCCTTCTTTAATCGCCGGCTTTCAACACATGCAAATGCACAGCGAGCTGGCACGAAAAGGCCAAACAAAAATATTTATGGTCTATTTATTTAATTACGAATGTGGCGTGAAGATACTCTCAGATATGTACATATATGGTACATATGTATTCGGTGTACTGGTATTACATGCTCGCATGATTTGTCGTTTGGCTCGCACGCAAAGTTTTCCATTTGTTTGGTTTGGCTTTGCGGTTTTTCTGTGTTTTTCTATCAAACATGCAAACATTGGCAAACGAGTGACGTGATCCCGGAGCGGGCCTGGGGGCCCAAGGCGGAGAAATTACGAGAGAAACGCGAGGATAGGTGCCCGGGTACGGGGGCAGGTCGTTGTGATTGCAAATTTAAGGAAAGTCCGAGCCCAGGGATCATTAGTGGTTAGACGACAAGGGACTTCCCTTCTCTCTCGTTTAAAGAAATGATTCTCCAAGAAACTCTCCCTCAGAGAGCGGAGTCCAAGTCAAGCTTTTAGCATTGATTACGTGCTTGAATGCAAACCCGAAATGAAGGAATTAATTGGGTTTAATTTGATTAGCAGTTCATATAAATCGAACGCTTCTAAGAATCTCTTCGAGCATATTCCAACCAATTAGCACTGGGATTACATTATTTGACAGTATTTGAAAGAGCTTTTCGAGCTATTCTCTGGAGAACTTTGGAGACTGGAGAGGTTCCAATACGAACCGAACACACCTCGAACGGTAAAGTAAAGCCCCTCCACTCCACCCTGCTCCACTCTAGTATATGTTTTCGCGCCACTCCGAGTCTTTGCGTGTCTGGCCAATTTGCGTGTGGGTCTCAATGGGTTCCGGAGGTCCAACGGTGATGGCAAATTCCTGTGACGGCCTCGACACATTCGGCAAAGGTCACCCGAAACACACAAATTTATAGACTAATGTGTGGCCTATAGTCTCGCAGAAAATAGATGGAATGGATGGCGGTGAACTCATTAGGATGATGGTCGAGTGGTTGTGGAAGTGGAATCAGTCGGTCGCCGCGGGCCCATTATTGAAATTAAAAGTGAATTTCATTTGGCAATACCTAAGCATGAAATAGTTCACTTTTTCCGCCTTACCGCAGAGGAAAACCCCCCCATGTGCGGACATCGTGCGTGATCTCTCAGTCTATCTCTGCGATAATGATTATGATGATGATGGCTATGTCTATGGCTATGGCTTATGGCCAAACTCTGTTCGAAGAGGTGTGCCAACGAGCAGTGATCGTGAGTCGGCAGCCCACTTCAGAGGCCATTAGTGGAGCTCTACGGATTGCATAACTCGGGTGTCTAGCGGGTGTCTCGCGGTGGGGGGATAGATAGACAGATAGATCTTACCCAGTCGTTGAAGCCCAGCTTCGCCAGTTCTTTCTGTGTGGTCGGAGACGATTCTGCGGCCTTGATCAGCTTCTCGGCACCTGTGGCAGAGAATGATCCATTGGCGCATTAGTCCCCCGATTGCCGAATGATTGATCTAAGGCCAAGCACTCACCATTGTTCAGGACTTGCTGGAGGAACACGCGCAGCTCTATTGTCTCCGTTGCCAGGGCCCGGCACACGGCTTTGTAGTGATTGTCCGCCAAGGCGGGCTTCTGCAGGTGGTTTCTGCAGGTCTGAAACGAGAGGGTGATTGGGAGTGTGATTAAACGGGGTATTGGAATTTGAATACTTTTAAGAGGAGAGTCTATAGCAGTACTCTACGATTAATATGATGAATTTATTGCTACTGTTGTAGGACAATCCGTTTTAGTGGCTCTTACTATTCTTGGCGTATCAGGCATGGGAATCTCTCAAAATACGGCAGCCATTCGGAGAATAGATAACTTTGTATCGGTTTCCGGCCAATTTCCAACCACTTTTCATTAAGATAATACTAAATATAGGCCAGGAAAGTGGGTTTCCTGTTCCCAGAGTTTCCTCGAGCCCTCAATAGAGAGAGAAAGAGAGTGCAGTATGGGCTTAAGAGCCCTCTTGGTGGGAAGACCCTATCCCCCTTTCAATAGAGAGTCGAAATGCAGTCTCCCCCATTGCCCATTGGCCAAATACAGTGCAAATTTACGCACATCAGCTGCGGATACTCTGGCACTTTTCCACTTTTCGTTTGGGTGTTAGAAAAGTCTGTGGGAGGCATGGGGCATGGGTTCTGGCAGAAGTTTGCTCACTGTTGCCTGACAGCAATGTGTCAATTCCATAAAGTGGCTCATTAGAGGTGGAGCGGCCTCTCGCGGACCTCCCCCGGGGCGCTCGGACAGAACGGATCGGACTTGGACTCAATCAGCAACGGTGTGAGGTTTATCACACGCCCCAATGCCATGGGGCCTGGGCGGTGATAGCGATCGTCAGCTGGCTCCCCAGAAGGCTGGGGAGAATTCCAGAAATCCATTTGTCTGTGAAATCAAGTGCAGCGGAGAGGTTTCGGATTCTGGATTCTCGATTCTCGATTCTCTCGATTTCCGCGTGATTACGAAAGCGCTTGTCTTGATGGTTATTTTGGTTATTTAACATTGCGGCTAAGAGTGCAATCGAGAAGCGATTGCAAATTGTTTTTTTCCAGTCAGGTACTCGTAATCCAAGTAGAACCCGGGCCAGGCTATGCTTGTTGGCTGCGGTTAGCCGCGATACAGATACAAAGATACAGATACAGCGCAACCCGCTCTCCCCCTCTCCACCTCTCTCTCTATCTGTCTAACTGTAACGCGCGCCAAACTAGTTTTCCCACAGATCCATCGATACATCGATACCTCTCGTAGCATATTTATATGTCAAATGTGCTGCTGGCCAAATGGAGCAGATTGAGCCCGGTCAAAAGGTCACGCCACGGTGTGGCGCACCCCCCTCTCTGAGTCATGGATTTCGGCATCTCAAGTGCCAGAAACCGTTTAGGAAACCGAAACTTACCTCGATTATGTGCTCTAGTTCTTTGGTATCGTTGCGCTCCTCCTCCGCCTCGTCGTCCCAGCGCTTGTCGCCCTCGTCGATGCCCTCGTCGATGCAATCCTCGTCAGTCTCTGCAACGAAAAATAGTTAAGATAGTTAGCCCCTTCGAAGGCAAAACTAAGGTCAATATCCCCTCCCCGGGCGATACGAGTACACATTTCTGTTTCATTTAGTTTCATTTATCAAAGTTCTACGTGATTCATGTGCCCGGGGAGATCTGGAAGAGAGACCTTCATCTTGTTTTCAGCTGTGCAGCTGTGCGGTTTGATAGAATGGGGTTTCCGCTCGAAGGCTGCTCTTCGAGGGATAGGCCCCTTCGGAAAGTGACTCAATCGCACAGAATATTGTGTGAATAACTATGAAACATTGCATCACTGCGATAAGTAATAAACGAACAAAGAAACACTCAATCGGAACAGTTCTTTCCCGATCTAGATGCTTATCCCTCTACACTATATACTCTATAGACTGTACTCACCATCTGCTGTCATAAAGTTGAACAGATTCTCGAGCTCCTGCGACATCTGGCACTCCTCGTCCTCGGGCAGATTGTAGTCCAGTGCGGTGTACACGATTTCCGCCATTTCGCTGATGATCTGCAGAGTAAAACCAGACGATCATTAATGATAATTTCCCAACGAAAGCAGACACTATTGAAGCAGAGGTTAAGGCCGCCGTTTAAGCTCAACGAGCCATCATAATCTGCATCGTGTAGTGCAGCTAGGGTCCCCCGCGATGGGGTCTGTCCGAGAGGGGTAGAGGGCCTCGGGGTAGGCGCCTTGACAAACAGGCAGTTCATTAAACTGACACTCTAATTGGAGTTGAAGTTGACGAAGCTTCGTAGAAAAGCGACACACGGCAACAGCAACAGCAACAAATAAACACTAATTGTTGTTGTTAGCCGAGAGCTGGGAAGTTTTAGCCCGATCTGAAGCTAGAGTTCAGGTGCAACAACAGAGCGACAACCGAAACGAGGCAGCTCCAAACACCCAAACCAAACCGAAACCCAAGTGCAGTGTCAGCTGTAAATGCTGCCCCTGCCCCAGCCACAGCCCCTGCCCCTGCCACTGCCCCAGCCCCTGTCGATTCACTTTCACTTTGGCGTTGGCGAAAACACTTGCCGAAAAAAGCGCCGTACACCGAGTGTTAAGACATAAACTGAAGAAGTCGTTAAATAATAATTCGCAGCTGCCTGCCGGCAGACACCAGCGCCAGCCACCAGCCACCAGCTCAATCTCCATCTCGACGTGGGTCGAGACGACGCCCACACACCTGGCCCTCCCGGCGCGGGGCATTATGGCATAGCTTCCGATCTCATCCGTTCAATCCGCATCCCTCCTTCTGTCTTTCCTTGCCCCCTTTGAGCTGGCTGTTCACATGGTTTTTGTTTTTATTATGAAAATTAAATGATAAAACATTGTGACAGCTGTGCATTCGATTCACTTGGGGCCCGGCCTTAGGCTGGCTGGGATTTCTACAGCCACAGACTGAGACTGAGACCCGGGAAGGGACTGCAGCCTCTAGCCACTGAAGAGGCTGACAACAAATGTCATTTCTCCGTCGGCCCTTACATCATTTGCAGAAGAATTGCAGCTGCAGTGGCAGTGGCAGTGGCAGTGACAGTGGCAGTGACAGTTGCAAGCGCTGAGTGGAGGGGAGTGAAGGGGGGGGGGCAGACATACTCGTAATTAATGGGAAAATTATGGAAAAGGTGCAAGCCAAAAGTGGCACGTTGAATGGCCACATACTCTTTCGTTCTTTAAGAACTACTCAATGGGGGTTTCCTTCCGTGTTCGCCTCTACCTCATTCTGGGCACCCTCTAATCAGAGTACCCCACTGGAGTGGATAATTCCAAGCGACTTCTAAGCAGGAACCATCCATCATCAGCATCGACTCTTGAGAAGTTTCCCATGCAATTAGCAGAGGGAACAGAACAGAACAGCACAGAACAGAACCGCCAGGGATTCGGAGTACGGAATGTGCATTGTTGATGATAGCTCCAAGGGGAGGCCGAGGGCTGGGGCTGCTCGCAATATGCCAAAGGGGAGCCGCAGTCGTTCCCACTTTGCATACACTCGTACTCGTATCCAGTGCAAAAACGAAAAAAGTATAGGTTTATGGGGTCTTACATTTAAACAGAAATGTAGAGGGTGCGCCAAGCCGCCACCATTCTCACCAAACTAGTCTCTGGGACGGGGACGGGGACTGAGACTGTGGCTAATATCAAAGTTGAAACCTGGCAACATGCAATGCGGCAATTATAAGATAGTTTCCAAAGTTCCATTTCGGTTGGGCCCACAGCCACGGAAACAAAGGGTCCCCCAGTCCCGGTCGCAGCTCTAGACCGCCCCTCCATGGGCCCAGGGCTGTCGTCGCCGTTTGGTGTGCCGCTTGTCAATCTTGTCAGTTTAACCTTTCGCCTGACCTCCATGCCTGAGGAGCTCCCCTCACTGGCTATTCTCATTCTCTGTCTGTCCCTCTCTGCTTGCAGGACCATTCGTGGCAAGTGGCGAGACGAGCCAGGAGGCCCGCTGTCCGCTGTCCACTGTCCGCTGTCCGCTGTCCGCTGAGGTGTAAATATTTGAGTGCACTTTTGCTCTTTCGGTCTGTTCAGGGGTGTGTCTGGCTTTTCTTTCGTTCGGTACAAGCCGAAAAGTGACTGGTGACTGGGGACTGGGAGAAAGGGCACTCCAATCCAATCGAATTTCCTTCCTCCAGAGCCACAGTCATCCATTATGATGGTCCATTGTCTCATGGGCATCTGCAGGAATCATAAACTCTCTGTCCGACTGTCCGACTGGGCCTCTGTCCTGTACTCGTTCGTGCCTGGGACCTCGGACAGGTCTCCTACTGTTTGCCCACTTGACTTGACCATTTCCCAGTCGAAGAAGACGGCCGAAGACGGCAGAAGACGGCAGAAGACGGCAGTCTGTGGCTGGCTGGCTGTGTTTCTGTCGCTATCAGGATTCACATTTTATGCAATTGTTTCCATAGAAAGAATGCCGTGTATAAATACACTCCACCACTCCACTACTATATATATATATATATGTATATATAGCCTACACTTGTAGCTCTCGAGTCGGTCGGTGCAGCGAGCGGCTAGACCTGGCTCTGGCTCTGGCTCTGACTATGGCTTCTCCTTCCAGCTCTGGACTATCTGGCCAGTCGTGATCAATGTTGGCAGCAGTAGCCGCAAAAAATGCGACGCCAATGTAAAGCAGCATAAAACGCTCGCTGGGATCGTTCAGATGGGGTCTAGGAGACTGGGGCGGTGGGGGGGAGGGACCAACAACGTTGACAAGGCGACGCTGGCGACAACGATTAAAATCTCTGGGGAGACCTGAACAAACGGCCGTACAGGGGGGTTACAGGGGGGTACAGGCGGGGGGTGGGCACAATGAGAACTGGAAATATTTTTGTAAATTACAATGCAATTTTATGCCACACAAAAGGTTTAGTTTTTGCTTCTTGTTTTCTTATTTTTCCTTTTATTTTTCCTCAAGTTTTTCTCCATTTCTGTGGCTGTTGCTGTAGCTGTTTTGGTCAACTGCTGGGCCCCCATTAAGCACTTTACATTGAATGTGGCAAGATCAAAGTGGCTGAAATTTATGACCGCAGATACGAGTACTCGTACAGAGATACTCTCTGAGGCTCTGGCCAAGAGCAGGCTCTGGCCAGACCAGACCTGGGCCTGGGCCAGGCCAGTGGGTTGAAGGAAACAACCGGCAGCTGCCGATGCCGCCGATGCTGCCGCTGGAGAGCAGGTTATACAATTTTAGATTTTCCAGTTTCTTTTTCTCTTCACTTCACAGCTTCACAGTCAACGGGCCTCGGCTGCCAGGGGGAAGGGGGGAGGGGGGGAGTGCGATAAAGGAGATGGTAGGAGAGGCCAATGAGTATGCATGTTTGACCCAAATTCAGGCCGAGAGCCCCACAAGCGAGGGGCAGGGAAGTACGGGAAATACTCGTATGAATATGAAAGATAGTGCTTAGGCGTGCACAGCGAGAAATATAGAGGAAGATTGTGGAATGTCCATCTGGGGTACAACGATCGCCCGCGCAAAGGGATGCTCTATATAATATATAGATTGAGGGTTACCCCTTTCGACTCTCGCACCTCTTAAAGATGGAAGTATAGGATAGGATAGTATAGTATGCTTTTTTTCAGTGCATGCAGTGCAGTGCAATATGTCATCCCACAATTATGTTCTCCTCTTATCATCAGGCAAGCCCCAAGCCCCTGCCCGCCTCCCACTTCTGCCTGGCGGGGAAAGTGAATGTGAATACGAGTACGAGTACCAGCATAGATACGTAGGACGCTAGGTGGATAGTGCTTGGTGGTTGGCTATTTGTGGCGGCTGTCTTGAAATAATATTTGCACATTTTGCCGGGACGGGAGCGCCTGCAATTAGCCCCGACATGATTATCAGCCGGAGCTACCCCTCCCTTCCCCCCTTACAGTAGAGGGGGGGCCCTCGCAATTGTCGCGCACCCGACGACCGACCGACTACTCGTTTGCCTCGGAAACTCTTGCGTTTGTTTCGGCACAGACGTGCGAACTGGGTTAATTTTCTATATATATACCTATACATATACATAAATACGATCTACGCTATAGCTACGATTGTACTTTACGATGTCTTGGGGAGTGCTTCACACGATTCGCGATCCGCGATTCGCAACGCGCTTGCCAAAGCAGCAAAAGCCCAAACTGTGAACAGCAATATTTTTCACATTATTTTCTAGCAATGTTGCTCCAAGCTGGTGTATAGAGATCGAAGCTGGCGTTTACTGAGAGCACACCATCCTCCATTCATGGGGCCATTCTCATGGCTCTCCATGGGAACCAGCCTCTCTTTTGCCCCCCTGCCTGCCTGCTATCAGAACTCCTAGTGCAGTTCCGGTAAGTCCGAGATCGGATCAGGCCACCTGGAAAAGCCTCTCGCGGGCACTCAAGCACTCTCGCACATGGACGCGAAGAGCACTTAGCGCTCGCACACAAAGCACACAAAGAGATGGAGGCTTAGAGATGGAGATGGAGATGGAGAGATCGATTGAGATTGAGATTGCGATCGAAGCCCTACAGCAACAGGCAAGATCAGGCAAGATCGCCATCAAAGTTCCCCAAGCGTCAAAACAGACCCGACAGACGCATCGATAATAATCGATGGACAAGTTTCGGAGCGAAAGAAGGAGAGAGCCAGAGAGTTGAGAGGTGGATCAAAATCCCTAGCAGCATTATAACGGAACCCGAAACAAAACGCTAATTGTACACGCCTCCAGAACATGACTCAAATCAAAGAAATAGCATGGCCGAGGGGTCTTAGCCTACAAAATGCTGCGAGTGTACGTACAATATATATTTATCAATATTTGGGCATCTACGGAGGGGGCGGGGTGATCACAAGGGGGGCGTGGGGACTGATGATGGGGACGGTGAGATAGCACAAAACGCTGGCGTTTAATTGGGTAATTGGCTCAAGTACCGTACGTATTACCACCAGCAGAACAGCCAAAACAGAAATTGAAAGACTCGCGGACTCGCACATGACTGCGGAACCACAATCGAAGAACCCCAACAGCCACTGAGCC